CACTTTACTGATGATGAGCCAAATGCAAATACTTGTACCTCTCATCAACACAATCAGATTTGTAGTTTTGGCTATAATACAAATGAACGAAGGCTTGATCGCCCCTTTCCACTTTCTTTATATTCAGGAGATGCTCCACATAATAACTCGAGTCTACATACTTCCTGGTTACTTCAGTTGGTTTCAACTAAACTAGAACAGGCTTGGCGCATTCCCTCGAAAAAAAACCACTTTACTGATGATGAGCCAAATGCAAATACTTGTACCTATCGTTAATAGATTCGCTGATCGTGTTCTATTTTTCACGACTACCGATGTAATCGAAATTATTAGCCATGGTATCTATCTTTACTCATCGCTCGCTGAGTCTTTCATTGACCATCCCCGTCTGAAGTGTTCTAATGAGCTTCACAAGTTCTGAACAAACACCGCTAAACCAACAATCCTTGGAACAACCCCCTTGAGGTCGCAGTCTTGCAATTGCTTGTTGTCGGGGAAAACTGTTGTTGTCATGTCTTATCGCGTTTTGAATGATAATTTTGTTTGAATGTGTTTTCATGGTGCCGCCACCGTGTAAAATAATATGGTGCCCCTTGGTTCCGATGTGTTTTCTGGAAACATTTAAAACGTGGATAACCGTAACGTTTTCAGTGCGTTAACCGGTAATTTAAAGACAACATTCTTCTAACTTTGCAATCCGGATATGCCACTTATTCAGTGAAGGTGTACCGTAGGCCTCGTCATCCGAGTGGATTATGATAAACAAATGTATAGTTTGTTACGATTTTGAATAATGTATAGGAATCATAGGACAATTCCCTTCACTGATTTGGTATGTGACAATGCCTATGAAGGTCTGATATTTATTTTAAGACCGCATATGACATATTTCAGTCCCCAGCAACCGCTGTATATATGTCACCATGGTAACGCCATGTTCAACGGCCTATTAAGGGGTACGCCTAAAATAGTTTAAACAGACAATATTAAAAATAGCATTTAGGTATACATGTTTTAAACTTGATTTTTATACACAATACCCCATTGTCGGCATGAGCGTTTGATGCATTTAAAAAACAACAAAATTTACATAAAGGTAAACTATTTAAAATTTCAAATACTAAGTGTAGGCCAGCCTAAATATGATTGGACCAAGTCTCAAAGCTGACTCAGAAGTTCGGATCGTGAGAAGTAAAATAATCCCCGCCATCATCATCAACAGGGGTGGGGCCAGCGAGCGGGGAAGGGGCCCTCTCCGGGAGTGCTGCCCCGACCCTCCGTCGAGGAAGGAAAACACAATTCGTCGTGGATAAAAAAAAATATGTATTTTTTAAAAGTATATTACACCCTAAAATCGATTAAATAGGAAGCCCTTGAAACCCCTAAATTCTCTTTTACATCGCACCCAATAGACTTGACATAAGTAAAAGATCAATATTTATCAAAGGCCAACATTATTGGAACAAACTACTAACCACCCTTCTACCAAGTAAAATGACATCTCTTCCAACATTAAAGAGGAATATTAAAAACATGATATTTGAAACATATTAGAATGGTGTTATTTAATTTGTTTTCAATATATTACTTGTTTACTGTTAAATTCTATAATTCAATAGTTTACCTGTTTTCAGGTTATGGTTGACAGTACCTGATAGCCCCCAATCCATTCTGAGTATCAAAATGCGGGTGGAAGTACCTTATAGCCCCAAACGCTGCCTGGGTAAACAACAGTTGAGTATCCGTTTTATGTCTTTGTATTTTTGTGTTTACTATGTAACTGTTAAATTAATTGTGTATGGTTTCAGCTGACAAGCAATCGCTTCTCTTGGAACTTATTATGTATTTGTCAATGAAGTATTCAATATATTTATTTTTTAGAAGGTTTCACCCCTTGACCACTTTCTGAAAACTTTGAGCGACGCCCAACCACGCCCACTTTCGCTCTCGTCGGGGACGTCACTCCGTCCCCCGTCAGGGACGTTGGACCTCGTCAGGCGCAACCTCTGATCTTCATCATCAATGTAGGCCTAATCGTCATATCAGCGCCATCATTATCGTAATCGTTATCATATTCATCATCCATTATTATTAACCTTGTTATTAATATTATTATCATCATTGTTAGCAGTATTAATATTATTCTTGTCATTATCAATAGTATAATTATTATAATCCTCATTATCATCACTATCTTTATCATTAATATTATTATTTTGTATTTATTATCGTTGTTTACTATTAACTCTTTAATATCATATTCCATTCACACTATACATCAACTACCGCAATAAAAATATAAATCTCATCTTTTCTGAAATATTTTTCACGAATATTCCCATGAAAATATAATTACATTCAATTACATACATTCCCGTAATTAGACTTGCCACAAGTCTAATTGATTGTAATTTTATTTCATAGTGTTAAATAATTTCGAAGTATGGTATGGAACGCCATGCAAATATGTAATATGGAACGCCATTGGTGGCAAAATAGTTTATTTTTAATAGTTTTATTGATCAAGACAAAATTACAGACTGGAATCCAGTTTACCCGTAATATATCATGAATTGAATTTATTATTTCACAAATTATCTAGAAGTAAAATGTAACTCTAGTAATTCATTAAGCCATTGCAACTAAAACACTTACATATAAATTGATAATTAATTAAATTCTTTAATATATAATTACATTCAATTACATACATACCCATAATATATCTTGAATTTAGTTTATTATTTTACAATTTACTTGGAAGACCAAAATGTAATTCTATTAATTCATTAAGCCATTGCAACTAACACTCTTACATCCATATAAATTGATATAATTAATTCAATTACTTTAATTTCAATTAATATTACAATTGCTGTATTATCAGTGTTAATACATAGATGACGTGCAACTAAATAGATATATGTTTATTGATATTTTATTTTTGTTTTTAAAAGTAATAGGCCTATTTGAGTGAGAATTTAAGAAAATTATAAAGTGGCTACCAAAATTCCCAGTGGAAGTACATAAAATCTTTACTATAGATAATAGTGAGATGCCAAACAGATCATGAGATGGTTTGAAGCTTCTCTAAAATCTTCACCAGGTCACTGGCATTATTCATCTCTGAGCATAAAGAAAATATAATTTAATAAGTGCAAACTCATTATTTTTGCATTGGCCTTTTTGGCTCATTATTTTAAGTCGGCGTGTGTGTGTGGGGGGGGGGAGCACAACACATTCAGAATAGATAATTAGTAGCGCTAATTTCAATATATGCATTGAAATTTTAAAATTTAGTGTCAAAACGGGGGGGGGGTGGTGTGCCCCCCGTGCTCGCCTACTGGATCCGCCCCTAACGGATCTGTGTTAACGTACGCTCAGAGCCTGTTCTAAAATAGGTTTTGAACATGATGTTTTCCAATTAAGAGCCTGCTCTATTCGAATGTTTGCAAGAGACTGTTCGTTCATTACACCAACTCCAATTTACATTTGTGTAAGAGATTGTTGTAAATTCTTATCTTTTTAACTACAACTTACATTTTTTCAAGAGCCTGTTCCAAATCTTTAATCAAGTCACCGGCGTCTTCAAGACCAACACTAAAAGTATAAATATTACAAAATACAATAAATAACAACTATATCTTTTAAAGATAATAACACAATAATAAACAAATTAATAAAGTATAATAATAATACTCATGATGATAACAATAATACCCAAAACACCCCGTATAGGGAGCTCTACCATGAAAAAAAAAGAAAAAAAGAAAGCCTTGTGTATTACTAAGTATTCAAAAAAAAAGGTAATTCCCTTATCTCTTGACGTCACCAACTTCATACCTAAATCGTATGAGTCCATCAGTAATTCCACCTTCCCGTCGTTCTTCCGCTGACATGATGCCTGCGCCGTGGGTCATCGTCGCTGGATGTTCAATGAGACTCTCATGACCCCCAAGTGACACTGCCAAAACTATCAACATCAAATTCTGCAACAATTTGTTTTCAATTTAAACATTGACAGATTCACATTATACAAAATCACAAAATAGGCTGCCTGTGCAGCAGTGGCGTATCCAAGGTGGGGGCGTGGGGGGAGGGGGCGCACGCCCCACAAAAAGCTTGTGCTTATGTGGTCACTGCTTCAATTCCATCCGTTGCTTTCCTAGCTGGAGGCAGTGGTGGCGCCAGAAATTTGCCGACAAGGGGTCCAACATGTCCGACGGAGGGGTCCAAGCCAAGGGGCCGACGAAGTATAGGTCGACGGCCCGGAATAAAACCTCCCTTGTAGGGATCACGGGGAGAGTTTTTATGGCTTAGTGTGGACTAAAATGTTCTTTTAGACCACGATATTAGGGATTGGCAGTCAAAACAACGTTATTTGGATAGGCAAATGATTATTTTTTAAACTTTTGATCCGACGATCCAGTCGTGCGTCGGACGACAGGGGGTCCAGCCTTGTCTGACGGGTGGGAAAATGCCCCTGCCCCCCCCCCCCCCCCCCCCCAAGGAGGGCTGGAATGCGCTACGATGTGCACCGTTTTTCGAATCCCGTCGTCGGTCCCTTGTGCAACATTGCCAATTTGTACACTGAAGATCGCAGTATACTCTTTGAAAAAAAGTAAGGGATTGTCTCCCTATATGCTGGCCAATCACCACCAGAAATACCCCACTGGATACAAGTCTTGGGAATTTCGTTTGCTATCTTCAGAGTGAGTCACAACAAATTACTCCTAATACGTGATTAGTAAATTTTACTATGCAAATGAAATAAAAATTGTCACCTCCACCAATTTCTTGCCAGCTGGCAAACCCCCAGCCATCTCAAAGACCACCATCCCGCTAAAGTCCGACATCTGCTTCTTTGCAACCTCATGCTGTGGATGTGAGGCTAGACCGGGGTAAAAGACACGAGAAATCTGAAACAAATATCCAGCAATTATCATTGGAAATGCAAACTTAGTTTTAATCATTTACTGAAATTTCTGGGTTTTCCTCTCAAGGGATGTAAGAAACAAAAATTTACATCATAATCCTCAAAAGAGACTTATGACCAACACTGTCTAGCTGTTACTTTCGTTAAGCAATTCCCGTGCTAATGCGCATGTATCAATTCATATAATAAATATGTTTGTAAACTTGTGGAAGAGTAGTGTGATTTTGTGATATTGCTAGTTCGTATGTACACCTAACCTACATAATAACGTTCCGAAGTCGGCTTTTATGTCAACCGAGAATGGGATGGATCTATACTGTCCTTAAATGATTATGGTCTCCGAGTTTAAACAGCCAGTATTGAAAGTTGTCTGGAATCTTACCTTTGGGTGTTGTTCCAAATATTGGGCAACTGTCATTGCATTTTTGCTGTGCTTCGCCATTCTGACAGGAAGGGTTCGAATTCCTCGTTGGGTCAAAAAAGCATCAAAGGGGGACTTCATAAAAAAATAATAATTTTAGATCGGTCAGATTTAGGCAACAATTATTTTTTAGGCCTTATCAACTTATTAAGAATGAAATCACAAATAACAGAAAGTTACTGTTTATTATTTTTCGTATCAACAGCATTACAATCTATACCTGTATTAACAAAGAGTATAAAACTGCAAGAGGTCTGACTGCTCTGATTTTGTATGCAGCGAGGTATGCAGGCAATGGAACGCTAAAAGTCTAGAAACGCCTCTATGGAAGTATTTTTGCGTTCCAACGAATCCCCGGCAGTCGGACCTTTTGCAGTTTTATACTCTTTGTTAATACAGGTATAGATTGTAATGCTGTTGATACGAAAAATAATAAACAGTAACTTTCTGTTATTTGTGATTTCATTCTTAATAAGTTGATAAGGCCTAAAAAATAATTGTTGCCTAAATCTGACCGATCTAAAATTAAAAAATCTTTGGTTGGCGATTGGCTTTCAAATTTCTCTTTGGGTCAAACAAGCATCAAAGTTAGACTTCATAAAGAAATTTAAATTAATACAACTGTAGAATGTAATGCTGTTGATACGAAAAGATAATAAACAGTAACTTTCTGTTATTTGTGATTTCATTCTTAAATAAGTGGAAGGCCCAACAAATCTTTGTTGCCTAAACCTGACCGATTCCCCCCCCCCCAAAAAAGAAAAACAAATTGGTTGGCGTTTAAGAAACTCTCCCAAGGAAGAGCATGAAATACTGATATGATGTCTTAGAAGGGTACATAGGCAAACATGTGGGCTTGCGGGGCAACATCTGTGTTTGTGAGACATGCGCGTATTCCTCTCCTTGTTCTGATTGGTCAGTTGTTAAGTTTGATTGACATTCCAGAAAGGTCATGTTAACCTAGTAGTTACCAAACATAGGATAGTGATGGTGGGCCATAATTGTAGTACTTGACCAACCGACCCTGATTTCAAAATTGTCATTAGTGTTAACAGCAATTGACTGATTGAAATGAACATAACATGTTACCTGAACGTTTCCCATCTGCCTTTGTAGATCCACAGCATAATTGAGTAACCGAATGTCTGAGAAACAAACTGATCCTCCAAGAATATCACCTGTCTCTTATACACATCTCGCTAATTTCAATATATGCATTGAAATTTTAAAATTTAGTGTCAAAACGGGGCGGAGGGGAGGGGCCGAAAATACCCGTGTCCCCCTACTGGATCCGCCTCTAGTTGGTATAGTTGTTTTAGCTTGTGATGATTCAGAAGTAATGATTTATCAATGTTAGTAGTAGAATTAATACTGCACTGTAACCACATTTATATAAAAGTTTGCTCATATACACCTGTAGGCCTAACCAGTCGGCACTAAATCCAGAGTAAATTATTTATTTTTGTTATCCACATGTGACTAAAACGTATTATGGGAAGGACCTTACTCTATAAACAAATAATTTTAATTAACTATTCTGACGAAAACAGAGAAAATGCGAAAAAATAACAAAATCATCAAGCAACATTGGTTGGAATAATCCATTCTATTAAAAATGCACCGATGATATAAAATTAGTATATGTTATGAAGTGAATGGAATATGCATATCAACATAATTGTATTGGTAGATTAAGAATGAAATCACAAATAACAGAAAGTTACTGTTTATTATTTTTCGTATCAACAGCATTACAATCTATACCTGTATTAACAAAGAGTATAAAACTGCAAAAGGTCCGACTGCCGGGGATTCGTTGGAACGCAAAAATACTTCCATAGAGGCGTTTCTAGACTTTTAGCGTTCCATTGCCTGCATACCTCGCTGCATACAAAATCAGAGCAGTCAGACCTCTTGCAGTTTTATACTCTTTGTTAATACAGGTATAGATTGTAATGCTGTTGATACGAAAAAATAATAAAGAGTAGTAACTTTCTGTTATTTGGGATTTCATTCTTAATAAGTTGATAAGGCCTAAAAAATAAGTGTTGCCTAAACCTGACCGATCTAAAATTAAAAAATCTTTGGTTGGCGATTGGCTTTCAAATTTCTCTTTGGGTCAAACAAGCATCAAAGTTAGACTTCATAAAGAAATTTAAATTAATACAACTGTAGAACGTAATGCTGTTGATACGAAAAGATAATAAACAGTAACTTTCTGTTATTTGTGATTTCATTCTTTAATAAGTGGAAGGCCCAACAAATCTTTGTTGCCTAAACCTGACCGATTCCCCCCCCCCCAAAAAAGAAAAACAAATTGGTTGGCGTTTAAGAAACTCTCCCAAGGAAGAGCATGAAATACTGATATGATGTCTTAGAATGGTACATAGGCAAACATGTGGGCTTGCGGGGCAACATCTGTGTTTGTGAGACATGCGCGTATTCCTCTCCTTGTTCTGATTGGTCAGTTGTTAAGTTTGATTGACATTCCAGAAAGGTCATGTTAACCTAGTAGTTACCAAACATAGGATAGTGATGGTGGGCCATAATTGTAGTACTTGACCAACCGACCCTGATTTCAAAATTGTCATTAGTGTTAACAACAATTGACTGATTGAAATGAACATAACATGTTACCTGAACGTTTCCCATCTGCCTTTGTAGATCGACAGCATAATTGAGCAACCGAATGTCTGAGAAACAAACTGATCCTCCAAGAATATCACTATGCCCGCCAATATATTTTGTACTAAAAAGAAATAACACATGTATAACAAAAGTGAAGGTATCGATCTTTATACGGAATAGAAAGAATGAAAGTGACGTCACCTGATTCAATGTGACTCGACTGCCATGGCCCATTTTGCAAATAAAAACTAATCTTCATTGTTGTAATAGTCACAATGTGCAGGACTGACAAAACTTGATAAGATTATGTTAAACTCGTTACACTTTTAAGAATCCTACACATATATTGACCAAATAACATCTCAATAGAAGCGATCAGTAAAACTAACAACAAACAAAAGATAAGTAGACCTCCATTGGTTATAATTGAAAGAAAGAAAAGTAAGCATCATTTAAAAATAGCATTAATTTGTTTTTAGAAACTAGATGGTATAAGGAAAGTTCCAAAACAAGACGGTCAGGGAATCAAGAGAAACAAGAGGAATAGCAAGACTTGGTTAGAAATAGAAATACAGGAAAGATCATCAATAGAAGAAGACGTGGATTAAGTGCGTGGATGCCTTTTATGAGCCAGAAGGACGAAAAGAGGTAAATAGCAGAAATATTAAACCTAGAGAGGGCGTAATTCTAGATTATAAACCATGGTTAGACATGCTTTCTGTTTTGTTATAATTTTCCCAGTTTGTTTACTATCGCATGAAAACTATCACAAAATAGCATACCAGCTATGCACAGAAATATCCACACCATGCTTCAATGTTTGTTGTAGGTATGGACTTGCAAATGTTCCATCCACCATCGTCAGGGCGCCACCACCAGGTACAGTATTAGCGACCGCGACAAACGCATCGAGGTCTAGAATATCGAGTTTTGGGTTTGTTGGAGTCTCTCCATACAACATCTGAAAAAATAGCAGATTAACTGTTAGCCTGGTTTCCTTAAAATCGCCACACTCTCCGTAGGGTGTTTTCAGTGCAATCGTTGTAGGCCTACAGCTCCCCGACGCAACGGAAAGGCTCCCGATTCGACCGACAAATCAGCATCACTGAAAGCTGTCGGCGATAGCATGTAGCGATTGTATGGAAACCAGGATTTACCGATTCTTTACATTTATAAAGAAAGGTCTGTTTAACCTGTTTGATAACTAGGCCTATTCACATTTTGTGCAGCAGTCTTGTCAGAATTTCTACCTTTTAAATATTTGTTTGCGGATAAAATACTCTTTATTACCGTACTTATGATCTCAGAATATAAAATAAAGATAAAGACACCAATGAAAATTCTAAAGTCAATCTACCCATACAGAAAGCACAACGTAACGCATTACCATTGCCAAGGACAATTTATGTGGGAGCGGGCACGCATTAACCCAAGCACATCAAACATGACTAAATATTACTGACCTTTGTGTTGGGCTTTATTGCCTCTCTGTATGCTTCTATGTTGCAAGCCTCAACAAATGACACCTCAATGCCGTACTTTACCAGCATATCTTTTGCAAATCTATACGTACCGGAATATGTTGGATTTGGAAGTATCTGGAAAGTATAGGAAAAAAAAAACATCAAGTACTAATTAACTAATAAACAGAAAACATGTCTTCCTCTAAGCATTGGATGATCACTGGGTATATATATATAATATATTAATACACACACACACACACATTCCTTGAGAGCTATGCTACACGATGTATTATTATGCCCTTTATTCGAACACTGTATTTACCTCTGTCTCTTATACACATCTAGATGTGTATAAGAGACAGGATATATAGTGTACAAGATCTTACCACATGATCCCCTTGCTTAAGTACAGTTAACAATGTAGTTGAGATGGCAGACATACCGCTGGGAAACAGCAGTCCCCCAGCTCCTCCTTCCAGCATGTTGATGGTCTGGGCAGCTGACTCGCATGAGTGATTTGCTACTCTACTGTAGATATAGCCTTCCTGTGGAGTAAGGAATTGAAAATAGTCTCCATAAACTCCATTTCATGTTGTTAGATTTCAAAATTAATTTACGTAAATATTTTATTACAGTACTCTGTACTTTGGATGGAAGGACAAGTGGATGAATGAACGGATGAAAGAACGAATAAGCAAACGAACGAACGAACGAATGAATGAATATCAATTATGTGTTGACTTGTATAAACGAAGTGTTTTTAAGCATGTTCAATTAAAAATCTATGAATATGTCCTTAGAGGGCAGCATAGTTGTCCAGGAGCTGAGTACCGTTTCGATTTTATTCCGCGTGCGGGAAATCTACTCATAACAAGAATAATTTAAACATGGACGTAATATTTCTTACTTAAACAATACATTAAATATGAATATAAAACAATATAGGCTATATAATATTAAATATTAAATAACATTAATTAAAACGTGGACATAGTGTCAATATACGGTAGCCTATAATACAGTTACGATTAACATTTTCTATCCATTTTAATAGATTTTATATAGCCGGAGTTATGTTTAGACCTAGGCTACTATAGCTAACGACAGAGTACGCTTTCTCAATTAATAAGGCTTCTAAGAATGGAATGATCCGATGGAAGTATAAAACAATATAGGCTATATAATATATAATATTAAATAACATTAAATAAAACGTGGATATATTGTCAATATAGCCTATAATACTGTTACGATTAACATTTTCCATCCACTTTAATAGATTTTATATAGCCGGAGTTATGTTTAGACCTAATAAACAATATAGGCTATATAATATTAAATATTAAATAACATTAATTAAAACGTGGACATAGTGTCAATATAGCCTATAATACCGTTACGATTAACATTTTCCATCCATTTTAATAGATTTTATATAGCTGGAGTTATGTTTAGACCTAGGCTACTATAGCTAACGACAGAGTACGCTTTCTCAATTAATAAGGCTTCTAAGAATGGAATGATCTGATGGAAGAACGAGCTCCTGTAGACCAAACCCAGTACAGCTTCGATTTTATTCGTGCGGAAAATCTACTAATTATATTCGCCAGGAACAGATTCAGTAGGGACAGCTGGCCTTCATCTTCATATGTAACCTACCCTGGGCCCCATCGATTTCCATTTCCTGGATCCGTCACTGATGTATTCAAACCGTACATTTTTATTCATTCTGCTTGACATTAAAGATTGAATAATAATAATAATAATAATAATAATAATAATAATAATAATAATAATAATAATAATAATAATAATAATAATAATAATAATAGTAATAATAATAGTAGTAGTAGTAGTTGTTGTTGTTGCTGTTGTTGCTGTTGCTGTTGTTGTTATTATTATTATTATTATTATTATTTGCGATGTGTATAGCGCCTTCCCGTTGAACCAACCTCGAGGCGCTTGCCAACAACGATAGGAAAAAGGCAAGAAATACCAGACTCACACAACACTTGAAGCTTAACCGAAAAAAAAAAAAAAAAAAAAAAAACATCGGACCGCTTAGCGGCTAGTGTGCTAATTAAATTACATGAAATACACATGCTTACCAAACAAAAGTAAAGGGTATATATCTTTCAAAGGTGCGGCTCTCGTGGTTTCGTTTGCATGCAATCCTATCTTAAAAACTACTATCACGAACAAAAAAAAATGTAGGGCATCCCCTATCTCGTGAGAGTATTTTTTTGATAATTTCGTTGCCTGCATACAATATCAGAGCAGTCGGGCCTCTTGCAATTCCATACTCTTTGACGGAAATCATAGCAATAATAAGTTAAATTAAATGCTTGCCTTTAAGCACTTTTCATACTCATCGACTTTGTTGATTTTAAATGTTGAAGCCAGACTTATTGATGGGACGACTGGGCTGACCAGATCCTTTCCCTGTAATTTACACTGCGAAGTAACTGCAATGGTTTCCAGCTTCGTGTGCGCATCATATTTATGTGTGTTTTCCACCGTTCGTTTGTAGCTGTACAGGCTATCGTTGAGAAAACTCATTTTCTGCGGTACCTTGTCGTCTGCCATATTATAATCCTGTGTGAATGGCAATATAATAATATGTATTGTAAATTGTAAAAAGATGAATCTGCGAACAAATTTCAACAATAAAAATTAAAGAAAATATTAAAAGAAATAAATGTGTATTTATAACTTTTATCTTTTTAAATTGAAAAAAAAAATTGAGTTAAACTAGAACAGATAATGTAACTCGTTAGAATATTGAGGACAGCAGGGGCGGCGCTAGCGGGGGTCTAGGGGGAAAAGACCCCCGTCGGGGACCTCTGGACCCCCTCCCCCGCTTGTACCCCCTATCGGGGAATTTTCAGCGAGATCGTAGGGGAAAACTCAAATCTCGAGTAAAGAAAGTACATTTCAAGCATGTCTTATACTAAGCTGTCAAAATTTTAGGGACTGTTTAGTGTGCGAGCAGTACTACCGTATGTGCGAGGTGTTGTATAGGCCTACTATTGCAATCGTATCTGTTGCAATGGTGCGCCAGCTCTTCCGTGACAGGTGGACTAGTACCTCCGACAGGGTGTTAGTACCCCCAACATCCTTTTAAAGTCAGGCTCCGGAGGAAAACAATTTTTTGATATGTTGTAGAACTGATTATTCTAGGACAGAAAAAAAGTTGTTTGACGAAAGCTGGGGAACGGTGAATGAGATACATATTTTTTAATATTTAAAAACTGGGGGAAAAGGGGCGTAACTGCCCATTTTTAAAACCTTAATCTGTATCTCATTCACCGTTCCCCAGTTTTTCGTCAAGCAACTTTTTTCTGTCTTAGAAAAATCAGTTCTACAACATATCAAAAAATTGTTTTCCTCCGGAGCCTGACTTTAAAATAAAGAATACCTTAATTAACACAAAATTCCAGACATTTTTCCCCCAAACGGGGGTTAGGGGTGGCGGCGTGGACCCCTTGTCGGGGCTTGGACCCCTCGTCTGTGAATTCCTGGCGCCGCCCCTGGAGGACAGCCATAAACGACATTGTACAAAGTTAAATTATGATATGGAGGTATCAGAATTTGAATGATGAACAACCGCGGCGTATTAACATGCGGCAGATGTGGGAGAGGGAGGGTATGCTGGGTAAGTGAGTGGTGTTAGAGAAATAAGAGGATTTGTTAGTCTACACTAAATCAAAAACAGCATCCAGTCCTCATTATTCACTCTTGGGAACGAAAGCAAATCTATCGTTATTATAATAATAAATAGTGCCTAATTAATCTTAATATCTCAATAATAATACTCCTGAATCTTTTACTTACCGTACCCGTTGTAGTGCTGCAAGCTGTAGAACGGACTGCAGCGTGGTAATTTCCAGGCACGCCTCTCGATCATTTAAAATTAGTCACAGTATCCGGAATGTTTTTTGAACTACCATACCAAATTGAAAACAGTGTTAAAGTCCATTTAGCATGCACTGAGTGTTCAGATTGATAGGTATTAGTAGGGAAGGGAGTCGGGGAGGTGTTGGTAAAAAAATAAATCATCCTTTATTCATCTTCAAAAATATATAATGATACAAGGATTAAAATATTAATATACAATATTATATTAGTGGATCTAAACAAAATGTTAGACCTATTTTGACTTGGATATCTAGGGAAATATGAACTCATTGAGAGGAAAAGGTTCCCCCCTTGGCCACGCACCCGGCCAAATACATGGGTCTTTTCAGTGCTATCAGCCTCCTTTTTTTTCGGGAACAAAAATGATAAGCAACAGCTAAAAAGTAAACGTAAGTAAACAGCCAGAAATAGAACCAGAGCTTTCGGACAACACTAGTCCTTCCTCAGTGGCGAGTGAGAGAGGGTTGAAAAAGCCAGATAGTATAAAGTGAGAATTTCATGCAAGCATGATTAGAAACAATTAGCAATTTGTTTTACTAACATATGCCATTTTAATTTCAATTTTGACTTCTGAATAGAGTTTCATGAAACTGACTGATGACACTTGTGCATGTCGTGGCAACTCTTTTTAGAAGTCAAAATTGAAATTAAAATGGCATATGTTAGTAAAACAAATTGCAAACAAATGTTTTTTTCTCTAAATAAACACATTGGGAGATAATTAAACCAATGAAACAGAATACAGGATTTAAACAATACTATAGGTGGCAGTCTAGTGCCTTTAAGCGAACAAATTATAAACATATATTGCCTTTGTTTTTATTCCTAAAAGAAAAAATGTATTCATCTAAAACGTTTGTAGGATTTCCAAATAAAAATTAAACAAATACCGTACACATAAAAGGTATTTCAATAGCGCCACCGTATTGTTTGGGCTCTCTTGTCTGGATGCAACAACGCTATCTCGCGGCGGTCAATTGATATTATTATTATTTAAAAACATAGGTCTCCCTATTCACATCATTTTCGTTAACTTCTTTAATTCATAACGAAGGATCTCCTGAATCTTTGTGACGACGTCTGCGAAAATGTTTCTATAATTAATTTACTAAATCTTGTGCCTTTGGAGTTTCAACTGCCAGGTTTGTTGACCTATACTTATAAAAATGTATAATTTTCTAGCATAAGTAGATAGCCTAGTGAACTGTTACGACCCTTTGCCAACACAATGCACAGTTTACAAAAATTAAATAACTATATTGCGGTTTTCTAGCTCCGTACATGACTAGGCCCTAGACCTACCGTGGGCCTGCTTTGTAAGCCTAATACTGCATGGTATTAATAAACGTAATTTCTGACACATACAATAGACCCCTGTGTCGTATGCTAGGAATTTTAGAACCTGTTAGATGGTTTGAAGCTGTTAACACTTCATAATTTTCGTATCTCTAATTTATACCAGTCGATGTAAAGCTACATTCTCAACTAGCTACGCAAAAGTATGGCCTACCAAATAGCACCTACAAAGCCACCAATTTATAAAATTTATTTTATAAAATTTATTTTATAAATTGGTGGTTTATAAATTGGTTATTTATAAATTTTCTAAATTTTATTTTCTTTTTAAGACACAACACAGCACTTAGCCAATGCGAAATAGGGGTGACCCTCACCCAGAGTCTAGAATTAAATTTGTTACCAACCAATAGACGAACGCCAAAAGATTGGTAGTCTTAGTTCAGCTAAATATGACATGCAGATTATAAATAAAAACTTGATCATAGACTTTTTATTATGAGCAGACCCAAGATTTTACTGGTAAAGAGTTTTTAGGCTATAAGCCTAAATCCATGTTATTTAATGGATACAAGATTGTGAAATTACACAGAAAATACAGATTGTGTGCCAAACTATTTAAGTTTAGCAACCTTTGTATGACTGATAAAAAAAATTACTGTGTTTTTGTTACGATTATACCTGTAACTTCATATTTGGTTTGGGAGTTGTTGCTGTTGTATGGACGCCCGAGCAGGTAGCGATAATTGGTTAGTCGTAAACGACGAGAAGCAACAATGAGAATCAAGGTCAATATGAGAAAAAAAAAACTTTGTGGAAAAAAATACCAATTCAGGAAACGCTACCTCGCACACAGTTATACCATCACAAAGCAAGGAAGACATGACAAGTTCTATTACCAGTCTTCAACAAGATTAAACATCCGCCGATCCTGCAAATTATTTTAGAAACCAGGGCATAAAAACAACAACATAAATGGAAATTTAAATAGAATATTCACTAATTATGGGTTTCAGAAATCCATTAAATTTAACTGTCAAGCTTGTCAATTGAAAAGGCCAAAAAAGGGCACTTCTTATTATTGCTATTCCGTTACTCGATGAAATACACTTGTTTTCGGCAATAGTTTTTGAAATCTGACAATTCAGAATTATGCGCCCACGTATTTGAGATCCTTGAGATCTAGGCCTAATCAGTTGCTTGAAATTATTAAATTTTAGAGATACAGAAAGTCACCTGTGTACCCACTATAGTCAAAATTTTAAATAAGCATAGTAATATAAATATAATAATAATAGTTAAAACTAAGTAACTAAGTAAATAAACCTGTATGTATTAATGAGATTTGATTGGCTGTTACTGTGCAGTATTGTACTTACAATCGACTGAAATGAATGCTGTTTTTTGATTTCCTATAGTAATCCTGGGTTCATATCCTTGATTGGTTTTTTAGGGTGAGTTATTAGAGTATGCGTTATAAGAGAACTGGGTTACTATTGATAACCTTAATGTAGGCCCTTGAAAATAGTAAAACTCCACCCACCCCAGCTTTTCGCGTCAATAAATCATTGAAATAAACTACATAAGTACAATACGAGTAAAACAACTTTGTTGATTTAATTTTATTTATAAACTTAAAACCACCAAGGAGCAAATTTTAAAAAAAAATATCATCAATGGCACAATCACATTGTGAAGAATAAATGTTTATTTTAAGGAATAGATCGTGATAAATATGTTGATTAAAATGTCATTTTGTCTATAGTTTTGGTGATTCTAAAAGTAACCCCATGGGTTATATTATTAGAATAGTGGATTGCTTATAGATAAATGTCTAGGGTGGGTTACTATTATAAAGGGTTACTAATAGAGTAATGGATAGAAGTTTTACTGTATTTATTGTTTGATGTTATTTAACGTGTTTTTTGAAATTAATATTTTAATATTTTTGTTTTTCTAACAAAGCCTGGTCTTCAATTTTTCTTCTTTAAATTCACTTTCTAGTGGCTCAAATTGATAAAGCTGCTCCATTTCTTTGCTTCCTTCTTTAGATCAGTACTTCCTAACTGAACCTCTTTCATATGTCGCGCTATACGATGTTTATTTTTTATTTATTTATTTCTTTAAAACCACAACCAACAGCAAAATAAATTCGCCAATAAAAGGAGGGTTATTAAACAAGAATGCAAATACAAAAAATACAAAACAACAAATTGAAAACAGGAAGAAACATCAAGGAAAAAAAGATCATAAAATGATCAATTACAGTACACTTAAAACTTTATGCCTAAACTGATTAAACGAATAAGAAAATATATCAAGATTATTTTCTTGAACTAAAAGGGAATTATATAATTTACTTAATCTACAAAATAAACCACTTTGGATGGCATTAACCCTCCCAAAAGGAACATAAAATGTGGGTTTACTTCTTAACGCACGAGATGGGACATTAATAAAGAAACTTGAAATAAGATTACAATCGAGATTACTATGAATGATATTATAAAGAAACTTAAGATCAAGAAAATCCCTACGAAATTTAGGAGATAAACATTTTCTGAAATTCACAGGCTCAGTTTGGTTGTATGAAACAAAACACATAAAACGATAGTTTTACATAAACAGGATGGCTGTGATTGTTATACCGAGTCTACGTCATCAGCTCTACTCACACTTCAGTGAACATCTCCAGTGGACGGGGCTTATACTAATATTCTTAACCGTCATTTTTAATATTTATAAACCAAAAATTAAATATTTTATTACCACTCATTTGTTAAACATATGTAATACTTCAATAATCAGCAGCTTAAAAAGCATAATTTTAATTGGACTTTAAGCTGTGTGTAATTTTAATACAATATTTTCAACTTCTGCCTGCCCTTTGTGTATGAATAGGCCTATGTGTATATGCCGAAATAGATAAATGAATAAATGAATGAACGAACGAACTAATGAATTAATGAATCAATCAATTAATCAATGGCTCAATATATAAATAACAAATTTAAAAAAATAAAAATAAAATCAATCAATCAATCAATCTATTAATTAATCGAAATCGTATTGACGAAACAGACCTATAAATAAAGCCTCTAACGATTACAAACAATCACCATATGTCGGATGATTTCAAGCCGGTGATTTATTGTTTTCCAGTTGCCATAAAACCTATCAACGAGAATAATTTTTGTGATTAATAATTTATTTAAAAATATGTATATTGACTTTCCTACTTAATCTTCAATCGATTTGTTCTTAAGTTAATGCTGCTGCCATGGCAATGATTATATTCATAGACCCTACTAAATAAAGCTTGGTTTTCACACAATCGTTAGTGTGACAATCCTTTTTAACCTTGAGATACACAAACAGACGTAAACATAAGCTTTCGTATCAAATGATCAAATACATGCTATAATTGAAAAATATCTGGAAGTAGTTTTATTTACTCATAAAATGTGTCAATAGTAGGCCTACTGATCACCTGTCGATAAAAAAATGTATAGATTTTTCAAATCAAACAAATACGTTGCTCTTCCTTTATAAATAGGAGTTCAAAGCATTTTCAAAATGTGTTGTATCCTGGCAAAAAACATATTTGAGTAAATAAACTTTTGAAAACAAATTTGTGGGAATTCAAAGTATGCGTGATTGTTGAGAAAGATAAAAAGGGACAACAATTGGTTGACCGCTAGATTCCCTTGCTTGCAATGACGCAAATCGAAATTGTCTGTATTACGAAACAGCTCTCCAGACAATACAGAAATATCTTAATAATAACTGTTTTTAAAATCATCAGGCTAAAACATACATAGATTTCAGTTCATTAGAAGACATGCCTTTTAAAACCAATTGGTTGTGCATCGTATTCTCACGTCAAGAACAATACCGTAGAGTACGTTGGCCCATGGTTAGCCAAACTGCGCTACTTTACAAAAACAACAATTAAAATACCTTTTAATGAATTCATTCGTAATAAATTAAATTTATTACGAAACAGTTCTCCCGATAAAACAGAAATATCTTAATATCAGTTTTTAAAATTATCAGACTAAAGCATACATAGATTTTAGGTCTTTAGAAAGTAAGCCTTTCAAAACAATTTGTTGTGCATGGTATTCTCACGTCAAGAACAATAGAGTACGTTGGCCATACAGCACTACCTAAAAACAACATTTAAAAATACCTTTTAATGAATCAAAAATATCCGATACTGCTTCAGAAGAAGATATGATTATGCAGTAAAAGCAGATAGTATGTTGATCAATCACAGCAGAGCTCTACCGCGTTTTTACAGTGTTAGATGATTTGGAGATTATTAGAATTGATGATAAATATTTTCAAGATATGTTTTTTAAAACACTTAGTAAAAACAGTACCGGTAACGTAATAGCATTCTGTAAAGCGTTGTGAGAATGATTTATTGTTTATTGGCGCTGTAAAAATAAATTATCATTTATTATTATTACGTGTAAAAAATATCAAAATACATTTTAAACGTCAAAATCCCCTACCTCCTGACCACCACCCTCTTCCATCCCCAGGTTAGAGTCCGATGAAACATTGCCAGGCCATTAAGCCTCTTGTTACGCCACTGGTTTTGAATACTCACCAGAGACTTACCCACTGCTACTTAGGATAGAATTTAAACCTAGCCACCAATGCAAGCTTTGTAGTCTAGTGGTTATGATACCAGACTAGTTATTTGGAGATTGTGGGTTCGATCGTCACCCGAATCACATTTGTTTCCCAATTTTGGGGAGGTGGTTTCACAAGTCTTTTGAGAGATGAGTATTCAGTAAGACATCACGTCTGGTTGGGTAAAACGTCATTCTTATTTACAAATTTGATAAAAAGCATGATATTTATGGCTGCTGGAGCCTGAGGCAACTACTATAGGCATAATAGTCTAATTAGACTGTCTATTAAATCATGCAACATCAACAATGCTAGCTGAAAAATCAAAAGTAAAATTGTTCATTTAAAATACAATAATCATATAAGTTCAATTCGAACAATTCACAGATTTAAAAGTTTTCATGATGCACTGTTAATTTTACTACTGTTAACACGTACCGTACATTATAACTATTCCACTCCACATAGGCCTATATTACTGCTAGTTTAACGAACGCCGTTTGTGTGAACACTTTGGCTATGTTCACACACACGGCGTAAGACTGGCGTGGCTTAAGCCAGGCGTAAGCTAATCCACGGATTAAAATTCCAAAGTGTTCACACAAACGGCGTTCGTTACACTAGCAGTAATACTGGCCTATCTGGTGTGGAATAGTTTTCAGTTATAAATAATGTACGTGTTAACAGTAGTAAAATTAACAGTGCATCATGAATACTTTTAAATCTGTGAATTGTTCGAAGTGAACCTAGGCCTATATGATTATTGTATTTTACATGAACAATTTTACTTTTGATTTTTCAGCTAGCATTGTTGATGTTGCATGTTTTAATAGACAGTCTAAATGGTTAAAATATCTTACAAAACACAATCAATAAATCATATACATTATAACTAAGTAAAATGCAATAGAAAAGGAACCCCTTTACAATTTCATTTATAGAGAGCACAGAAAAGAGACCAAAGTAGCTAATATATTGCAATCGTGATTGGTCAATCTCTTGAAATGAGGTCAAATCATTCAAGCATCACTGGCGTTAGCTCAGTGGCGTTAGCTA